TCAGAGATATCTGTAACAAATCAAGAAGTTCTTGGGCTCAACTCAATAGACAACAACTATATGAAAAAAGGACAAATTCTGTGCTGGAAATCATTAGGAAAGGCAATAAAAATTAAATAGCTAACACTGCAATGCTCTCTCTCTCTCTCTCTCTCTCTCTCTCTCTGTGTGTGTTTGTGTGTGTGTGTGTGTGTGTGTGTGTGTGTGTGAACAGAGAGAGAGCAAGACATCTACATTTGGATATAATGAAGCTGGAAAACGGCATAGGGGGCTCAAACATTTTCCTTATGAGAAAACAGACAAACATGGAATACAGTTGGAATTCAGTGGTGACTGAGAAATATGATCAAGATGTAGAAAATAATTCAAGGCATAGAGGAAGTACATAGAAAATTTTTCTCTGCATCTCAGGACTGGGGCCAAAGGTCCTCCAAATAAACTGATTGGAATGAAATTTAGAACTGTTACAAGAAAATATTTCTTCACATAGCATATAATTAGTTTCTGAAAATAATTGTCACCACACATGGTGATCGCCACTTACAGTACATGAATGGTTTTAAAAGAGGGTTGGGTAAATTCATGGAAGACAGTTCTATCAATGGCTGGTAGTCTTGAAATTTCAGTGGGCAATAGGCCATCAAATACCTTTTCCAGGGGAAAAAGTAGGGGTCTCCATCTCTTATATTTATGTATACCAGAGGCCTCTAGCTGACCACTCTGAAAAATAAAATGTTTGACTAGGATGGACTTTGCCCTGATCCAGCAAGCTTGTTTGTTTATTTTTTGGAAGAGTCCTTCTCTATGATGTTGTTCTAAATGTTTGTCCCACTTGGTATGAAGCTTTTTGGTACTGCATCCACCTAGTTCATGCAGGGAAGCTATTGATGCATGATACAACAAGAGATTTGTGTTGCAACCAGTTTTGTCACAGAGCTTGGTGCTTATTAGGCTGAGTGGTTGTGACTGGCCTAAGACTATTTAGATGGCCTGGGGGCATAAGAGAGGACCCCAAATCTTCTTTCTCCTATTACTGTATTTTAACTGCTAACACCATGTTATCTGAAGGATTCTTACCTATTTAACGCAGAATAATAGTTGCCTGAAGTAGATATTGACCTTTAACCAAGATATTTCATTTTTACTTAGTAAAGTTTGACAAAATATCTTAGGAAAAAGTCATGAGTGTTAAATCAATTTATTACACTGGAATGTAGATATCTCTTAGTTAACTTTTTACTAAAATGTATTCCCTGAGCAGGTTGCATCTCAGACACTAGTCTGTAACCCAAATAGTGACCATTTATCATATGTCATTGTTTAAAACCAGAAGTTATAGCAGGCAGACTTAGATGGCAAACAGCATAGATGGAGGAGTTTGATCACAAGCAACACTCATCACATCTGCAAAACAGCTACTATCACAAACCACAGATTATATATTATGTTATAAATAACCAGTTTCCATTCTTTCTATTAAATGGGCCTGCTATATTTATGTCACACCATGATTTAATCATTTTCTATGTCAACAGCACAAACAGCGAAGTACCAAAAATAAGTATAGTCCCTCAGATCAATCTATTTGATTGTACGTTTCATTCGGTTTTAAAATTAGGGCCTCAGTTTGTATATCATGTATCCAGTGACATTCATATCTCCTTTTCAGACTTAAGTCAGCTTAAAAATATAATAGATTCTCATCTTGGACAGGCCAATGATGGGGCAGAGGTCATAACTGCTTTTCTAGATGTCTTTAGCTTTCAGACATAAGTACATTTTTAATCTGGTGTTCTTTACAAATAACTTTTATGAGCTCCACCTTGTAAAACTGATACCTGCTTAAATATACATAATTTAACTCACTGCCCAGGAGATCATTCATATTATTTTAGTTCAGTGTTTCAGGACTTTTTTTCATTATGCTTTATATAGTGACTGCTATCAAGTCTGGGTCAACTCGTATATTGATATATTTTCTCCATGATGATATGTCTCTAATTTGGTCTTTAAGATCTTCCAATAGTGCATTCATTGTCAGGGTAGCTGGATCCACCCACTTGCTGCTAGATATCTTCTTTTTCTTTTTCCTTCTCCTCCTCCCAGTATTAGTGCCTTTTCCAGAGAGCTAGGTCTCCTGACATAATGTGTCCAAAGTAGGGTAATTTAAGCCTGGTTATTTGTTCCTTGAGTGAGTAATTGTGGGTTGATTGTTTTTGATGATCCATTTGTTTGTTTTCCTGGCTGTCTGCAGTATTCTCAGAAGTCTTTCCCAAATTCAAAGTTCAAAGGCTTCAATACTCTTCCTATCTTGCTTCTTCAAAGTCCAGTTTTCATTTCCATAGAGTATTAGAGGGAATACTATGATCTGCACTATTCTGATGTTTGTAGCTACAGACACATCACAGCATAGAAATATTTTTTCCAAGAACTTCATGTCGATTTCACGAAGTGCTAGACTCCAGCATGTTTCTTAACTACTTGTACTTTACTGTTGAATTTTATACATACTTACTGTTTTAATGCAATGCAAGAAAAAAAAATAACTAAACAGGATGTTTAAGTTAAAAATTAAACATTAAAAAACTATTAACTTTTAATGCAAATTTATAATTGTGTTTGCTGGGTAAATGTAATTTATTTACTTATATAACTTGTAATGTATCAAATTATATATACAAATTAAGATTTTATGTAAATACATAATAATTATAGCAATTTAATCATTTTTTAAAAAAATCATTCAGAACTGTTATTTTCCAGCAATAGTAAAACAATTGAAAAATTAAATTGATTTTTTTTTAGGAATAATTTTTTGCCAACTTTTAACATTTGCTTGATATGAGAAAGTAACATTTAAATTAAGCAGTTTACAAAGGAAAATTACATACTCAAGAACAATTCAATGGGATTCTTGAGCTTGATGTTTTTTATCTAAAAGTTCAGTGTTTTGTATGAGGTTAGTCAATTTAATTCTGACATCTCCTCTTGAACATACATCAATTCTATGTCTTTCATTTGTTAATATATTATTTATTCAAATAAAACTACTTTCAACTGTACAAGATGTCAGAAAACAGAAATACTTCTGTCATTTCAAACCACCATAAACAACATCTACAAGGAAGCCCATGGAAGCCAATAGGACAAGCTATTCACAATATGACTTCAAGATTGAGCAATCAATTGAAAGTTCTCCAATCTCACATCTATTAGCTTTGCATTGCGATCTTGCATATGTTTTGTTTATCTTTCATGAACTCAGTGCTGCTCATGTGATACCAAAACCCAACAAAAGGAATTAAATGCTAAGAAATAAGATTTTGTTGGGAAGGATTGAGCTTTGGAGGGCCACAAAGCATTGTAATATCGAAGATGTTTTTGCGACCTATATTTTAACTATCTGCATATTTTTGTTGTAGTATGTTGTGGTTTAGGTATGATTTCCCCACCTAATTTCTGATTTGCTATTACCCCCGTGAAGTCATCTTATCACAGTAGTAGGATCTATTTTAATTATTGGTTTTTAGTAATTATATTTCTATATTTCTCTCTGAAAGGATTCTAGATGGCATACAACATCAGCAAAAAGAAATGCCAAATAAATAAACCAATAAATCAGAACATCAAAACAATAATTTAAAAAATCATGAAAGGTAAAACTGCAAAGTGGGCCCCTAGAGTCAATCAGTGGGGTCTGAAACTACATTTGGAAATAAGACTTATTTTAATCTGTTTCTGAAACTGCAGCAAGGTAGAGCTGCATGTTCTTCTGGGACAGAAGGGTCCACAAAGTGAGGGATGTTGCAGAAAAGCTTTTGCAGACTTCACTAAGGAAGGGAAATTTCTACAGGCCCTCTCTGGATGACCAGACTGGAATCTGACCAATATAGGCAATCCTCATTTAATATCCACTCATTCAACAACTGTTCATAGTTGCAATAGCACTTAACGAGGGATACTTATGACTGGTCCTCATAAGTTGGCTGTCACAGTGTCCCTATCTTATATGATTGTGATTCATATTATCATGTTGCAGCAGCCTGGAGTCATGTGATTGCCACTTGTGATCTTCACTGCCAGTTTCTGACAAACAAAGTCAAAGGGGAAGCCTGCAGGAGGTCACAAATAGGTTGTGTGTCTGTGTGAGATTTAACTAATGATGACAAATGGAACTGCTAGTTCTGTTATCATAAGCGGAGTGGTCACCCTGGCACATTGCCGTACAACCATGCCACTTAGCATCAGAAATTCTGTTTGAAACCATAGGTAAACAATGAGTACCTGTAAAATAATTGACAATGTGCACAATGTTTTCTCCCAGTTTCAGAGGTGGTATGTCTCTGTAGTTCTATTTTCTGGGCAGGAAGTGTACTTTCAAGTCCCACTGGTGAGCTTAGAGACATCCAGTTGACCACAAAACAAACAAGAAGCAAGTTCATCACCCCACCTCTCATTGACGGTGTGCAAGCAAGTCCCTTGAAGAAAGGTTGGGAATGAAATGATATTGCTGGTATATCAAAGAGCATCAGAGAAAATACAGAAGAGGCAGCAGAAGTTTAATCTCTTGAGCTGCCTGACCAATGGTATTGACAATGTGTCATCTCAAATTCCATTGGACGGCAAAGAGAGGCATGCTTGAACTGTGCAAATACTCTCTTAAATAACACTGACTCACTTAAGCCTAGCCTCTCTACTTTAGCTGTCTCAGTCTGTCATACTGTAACATTCTGCTTCGTGTCAGATGTTAAAAGTCAGCCATTTTGCTAAGCTGTCATAGTGTCTAATGGGATATGAAAAGCTTACAGTGTGTGTCAAAAACTCAGTGGCTGGCAATTAACATGTCCTGTTTACTTCATTGTTCAAAGGTTGCAGGGGTAAACATTTTCTTAATAGCAGAATAGACAATTGAAGGTTGTGGTTGTGGGCACTCAAAACTTCATTTAACATGCAATTGGCAGGATCCTGTCAGATGCTAAATATGTTTTCTTTACTTACAGGTCAAAGGAAATTTTTGGCAAACCAAAGCTAAATGGCTTACATATAAAGATGAATGTTTGAAGAGACTACAAGAGTCTACAATTAGCACAGGTAAGGCAGAAACCCATCTACCACCATCTACCACCACCACCACCACCATGAATATAAGAGCTCTTACATGCCCCCAGCATGTTCCAGTGTTTTCCATGCATTGAGGCTGGGCCGGGGCTTCAGAGCAAAAGTAGAAAAGACAGATTGGTAGTTGTTTTCCTCTTCACCTGAATAGTAAGTGATTCCCTGTTATTAGAAACATCCATCTTGGATGTAGAATAAATTTAATATGACAAAGTAGAGGTGGTATTGAAAATGGACAGGTCAAGAGAATGATTTAGGAAATGATGTTTCACTGGATCTATACAAGAAATTGGCTGAAGTTTTAAAATTTAAAGGGGAACTACAAATGACAAATCAGAAGAGTGACCTAGATAATTTCTACCTACTGGATTGACAAAAGAGGCCTGTTAAAGCCTTAAAGAAATCTGTGTGATGGAGAGAGGGGGAGAGTGAGGAAGAAGAGGGAAAGAGGGAAGTGAGAGAAGAGGTTAGAGGGTGGATGCGGTTTGGGGGGAAATGGGTGAGCAATACCGAAAGTTGTGTGTATAAATTTATTCTATTCTTTATCTGAAGTACTTTTTATGAATGTAATGAAAAATTGAAAATAAAATTTTTTTACAAAAAAAAAAGAAATCTGTGTGATGGGACAAAGAAGAAATTAAAATAAATCAAATCCTATGACAATATTTGAATGAGCTAAAGATTATGACTGTTAGAAGTAAAAGATCTTTGGTAATATCACTACTTCAGAAACCTTTGTGGCCAAGTCATTTGAAATCCAAATCATATCTTTTCTTGAGAAAAACCTACGTCCTTCTGAAATATATATATATTCTCTTGAACTGCCGTTTTTCTGTCTTCATATAACAACCAATCCTAAACTGTCCATGTCAAATGTCCTGTGTGGGGAAATCATTCCAATCCAAATTTCCACCAAACACAAATTTTTCATAATGGAAACCTATTAATACCTCTGTGAGTTATTTATAAAACAATATTTGGTTCTCATTTGAGGCCTAAATTCCTAATATCAAAGTCTTAACCACATGTAGAATAATTTCCATCCCCAACAAATCTACCATGGTTATCAATCAAAGTCCTAATTTTAGTTGAGGATAAATATACAAAACAATTTTTCTTTTCTTTTTTTTTTCTGCACCTGCTGATATAAATTTTTCATTCAAAGTTTTATAAATCAAGTATTTTATATATTTTTTCTGAAATGAGTCTCAAATGAATCTCAAATAATGTCTTTTTTTAAAAAAATAATGTTTTTTGTTCTATTTTGATGAGTATTTGCTCCATTTATATTTCTTATAAAGCATTTGTAATCCATGATCAGGCCAAAAATTTAGAAAAGTCGATAAATGGAGCATCTAATTCAGTATTATCCTTTTCAGATTTTTATTGCATCTGTTGTGATTTTTTGTGTAACCTCTTTTGATACCTCCATTTGTAACTCCTCCAATTTTTAAAATCTTTTTAGATATTCTCTTGTCATCTGGACAGAGTTCAATAGAAATATCTGCTATTGAAAAGTAAAAATGATGCTTTCGAGTCTGGAAAGATCTTTTTCTGCTTTAATTTTTCAGTCAAAAAAAGAATATTCATTTTTTCTGTTTAAAATCCTGTTAAAATTTCTTTTAAAACAATTATCTTGTATTAAAATGCCGCTGTGATCCCTTGCCTTCTTTCTAACAAAATGTACCAAAACAGCCCTTGGAACATTTCTAGTTCTGGCAAATCTAGAATGTATATTGTAAAATGCATCAATTTTTGCCTCGTTATTCTTCTATTCTCAATACAAAAAGTTTGCTAGAGATAACCCTTTCTGTAATATGTTCACCAGAAGGCTCAGCAATTGCTCTACATCTCAAACAAAATTTCTTCATTCTTAATTCCAATAGAACCAAGTTGTCTAATTCTCTCTGTCTATCACTCCTGTCTTGCTTTCTAAAATTTCCACTTTGTGTCAGGTGCAAAGAATCAGGATCAAATGTTAAGTTCCAGCCAAACTTACTTATTACTCAAGCCCAGTGGTTCTCAACCTGTGGGTCGGGACCCCATTTGGGGTCGAATGACCATTTCACGGGGGTCGCCAAACCACACTGTCCACCATTTTTTTCCCTTTTCCCTAGCTGTCCTACTCCCTCTTATTGGTGGCCACACCCACTTGGGGGTCACCACAACATGGGGAACTGTATTATGGGGTCATGGCATTAGAAAGGTTGAGAACCACTGCTCAAGCCTATGCACGAGAATCTGGGCAACTAACAGTCAGCACTAAATTGGTGCTAGGTAAGTTAACAAAATTCAAGGGACTTAAATCACTTGTGGGAACATAACAACTCTAGGGTTATTCCACTCTTCACAATGACCCAGGTTCTACGTCTTCTTCTCCTACACTTTGTTATTAATCCATTTCTCCAGACTTTTTTTTTACAGAGTTTTCCATCTTCCTGACTTCTTATTTCAGCACTTCTTTCATCTTTATAAATCTTTCATCCCATCACATTTTGAAAGCTTAGTATCAATTAACTTAGTTTCAATTAAACTGTGAGTTTCGTTTATAAAAGAAAATATAATGGTTTTAGACAGAGATTAAATGGAATGTTATTATAAAAAGGAGCAATAGCAACAAAAGTAAAATATTTTTTTGAAACTAATTTTAAATGAAGGTATTGTCTTAAGAATAGAACAGAATAGAGCGGGAAGGGACTTTGGAGGTCTTCTAGTCCAGCCCCCTGCTCAAGCAGGAGAACTTATACCATCTCAGACAGGTAATTGTCTAATCTCTTCTTAAACAATCACCGGTGATGGAGTGCTCACGATTTCTGGAGGCAAGCTGTTCCACTGATTGTCCACACTGTCAGGAAGTTTCTCCTTAATTCCAGGTTGCTTCTCTCTTTGATCAGTTTCCAACCATTGTTTCTCATCCTTCCCTCTGGTGCTCTGGTAAACAAAATGACCCCCTCTTCCTTGTGGCAGCTCCTCTGATACTGGAACACTACTATCATGTCTCCTCTATTTCTTCTTTTCTTTAGACTAGCTAAACCCAAGTCCCACAGCCATTCTTCGTACATTTTAGTCTCCAGGCCTTTGATCATCTTAGTTGCTCTTCTCTGAATTTTTTCCAAACTCTCAACATCATTTTTGTGATATGGTGACCAAAATTGGCTGCAGTATTACAGGCGTGGTCTTACTAAGGCAGGGGTGTCAAACTCAATTTCATTGAGGACCACATCAGCATTGCTGTTGCCCTCGGGGGGGGGGCAGGTAGGTATGGCCAGAGTGGGTATGGCCTACTGGGTGGGCATGGATGGAGTGGGTGTGGCCTACTGGGTGGGCATGGCCAGCTCTACATTGTTCACATCAAGGGTGCCTATGGGGCAGGACTGGGACAGATCTGAGGGTCTCTGGCAGAAGGGAGTGGGACCGGGGCAAGCGCCAAGGCATGGTCCATTTCTTCATTCCTCACAAAGGGTGACACTTCCCCAACATGCACCCAGGAGGTGGGGCCGACACGGCAAAGGCTGGTTCCTTACTGTTTCCAGACGGCCTTGTGGAGCTAAGACTGAATGTGTTTCAGCATAGATGACCACCACAAAATTGTACATTGGCTCCCGGCCGGCCTGGGCCAGGGCCAAGGCAGCAGGGGCTGTTCCCTTACTGTTTCCAGGATGGCTTCGCGGGCTACATGAAACCACTTCACGGGCCGCATCCAGCCCCTGGGCCTTGTGTTTGACATATCTGTACTAAGATTTTATAAAGAGGTACTAATACTTTGCGTGATCTTGATTCTATGCCTCTGTTTATACAATCCAGGATTGTATTAGCTTTTTTTAGTTGCTGCTGCACACTGCTGGCTCATAGTCAAGTGATCGTCTACTAGGACTCCAAGGTTCCTCTCACAGTTACTGTTTTTGAGCCAGGTCTCACTTAATCTGTACTTCTACCTTTGATTTTTCCTGCCTAAATGAAAAACTTTGCTTTTCTCCACATTGAAACTCATTTTTTTGGATGAGGCCCATTGTTCAAATCTGTCAAGATCTTTTTGGATCCTGAGTTTGTCTTCTGGGGTGATGGCTACTCCTGACAGTTTGGTGTCATCTGCAAATTTGATGAGTTCCCCTTCAATTCCCTAGTGCCCCTTCAATTCCGAAGAATGGCTTGGATGCAAGTAAAGCTTTTATTAGAGGCTATTTTATACAACATAATACTGAACTGTTAGAGAAGAACTGTTAGAGAATAGTCCTAATAAAATGGGAAAATAAGCCAGCCTACTTACTTAGAAAATCCAGCTATCTGGAAAAAGTCTAATGCTGGGAGGAAAGAGAGAAAGAGGATGACTGGCAGCAAGGTGAATGGATTTAATTACAGTGGCTACAAGTGCAACTTTGGAAGACCTGAAAGAGCAAAGTTAGGGATAGATTGTCATGGAGAAAATTTATCTATCTGGTTGCTAGGAGTCAAAAATCTGAGCTGTTGCTGCTGCTATTGCTGCTTTCATGTTTTCAACCTTTCCTGATTTCTCTCTTTGTTTCTTCTCTTGATATCCTACTTTACAGTATATTCTACTGACATATAATATGAAGTTGTGATCTGGCAAAGATGATAATTAGCTGAAATATGATCTGATTGACTTATCCAAATGCTGATTGTTACTCATTTTTAAACTTTCTGACTAACCTTTTGGCCTCTTCAGATCAATTTGAATTACTTTCTCTAGTTCACCATATTGTATTTTCTTTTAGCATGTGACCAGAGAAATTCCGAAAATGAAAAACAAAGCAAAAAGTGCATATATAAAAAGGGATAGTTAGGGTTTTTTTTAATGTAACATTCAATATGTACATAAAGACAAAAAAGGATAAAGAAAAGACAAAGGGAGGTAAAGCATAGAATGGGGGCTAGACATTTATTTTATATTTACACTCCCATACCTTTTAAATTTATTTGTCATGGTTACAATCTGACAGTATGTATTTTGATTGGTCTTGGTATTGTTAGTTTAATAAGCGAAGTGTCCCAAACCAAATTACCATTTCTATCTATCTGGAATCTCAGCCAACCATGTTGGTTTTCAACATAGTGCAATGTTAATGTTGAAAATAGTAGCAGAGTAAGTTTATGATGAAGAAATAAAAAGTGAGATTGCTTCATTTAAAAATTGGCTGGTCTTAACAATATCTGTTTGGTTTATGAAAGAAAAATAAGTTGGCAACTAAGTGCACTTAAGATACGATTTATGGTCAGTATTTAAACCTGTTTTCAGAAAGGTAACTTGGTTACAAATAGTAATTTTATATACACACTAAGTAACAAATATACAAAGTTACCATATTACAAATGTAATCACTGTAGAGCTTAGTTTAGACATATTGCATTCCTTGGTGATCAATTACTTGTAAACTTTAGTTAATCTTCAAAAATATTCTCTCTCTCCTTCTCCTTCACAGGAATATATTGTAATGGAAGTTTTGATCAGTTTGCTTGCTGGCCTCATTCGCCACCAGGAAATATCTCTGTTGCTTGTCCATCTTATATACCATGGCTTAAAAATGGTAATGTAAACTTGGAAATGCTAAATTGTAATACACTATATAATTTTCCTTCCCTTTTGGAGTTTTATATTGGGCATAACATGATCTAAAATGAAGTTCTTCTGTACTAATAGTATCTAGTAGCTTTTGGAGAACTATCTGAATTATAATCTGATTCTGCTGTCATCAGTACAGAGTGTAGAAATTATAAAAGCAGCGGTACTAAAATCTAGAACTTCATTATCTTCCTACATTTGCAACAGTCCCACTGTTCAAAACTGAACATCCAATTTCATAAATTTGGGATGGGGCATCTCTGACTTTCCACATATCCTGAACTGCAGTTCCCATCATCTTTCACCACTAGTCATGTTAGCAAAATTGAGTGAAAGTTAGCAGTCTTCAGAAGTACTGTACCCATCACTTTTGCAATAGGAATAATTGTGTTATTTCTTAGCAGGTGCAAAAATATGATATGGCATTCTATTATTACATTTTTACATCTATGCCGGTGCAAAGTTCTCACTATAGTTACCAGTAGTTTTGAATACTTCACATGGCAAATCTGGAGTGATTTTCTTATGGTATTAGCTAATGCTTATCATAACCATATAGGACAGTGGTGGCAAACCTATGGCACGCATGCCAAAGGCGGCATTCAGAGCCCTTTCTGTGGGCAGGCGCACCATGCCCCAGAGATGGCAACCATCCCTCTTCAACCAGCCGCCCACTAACTCACCGAGGTCCCACATGACCGGATGCATCCCAGCATGGCTGGTTTCCCTCCCCCATGTCTCATACCTCCTGGCCTCGCATGCTCTCCTTTTCCTGGGCACGACACACTGCATTTATGTTTCTCTGAACTGTTGGCGGCGGGCTGCGGAGCCCCAGAGTGTGCTGGTCGAGGGGCTGGCAGGCTGTGGCTGCTGATGGACACCGTTGGCCCCCATGCACTTGCTGGCCTCTGTGTGTGGGGGCCAATGGTGTCAGGCAGCAGCTGCCCCTGGCCACTGCCTTGCCTTTCCCTGCGGCAATGGTACCCCTGCCCTGCCTCGCTTTGCCTTGCCTTGCCTCACCCCACAGGACGAGCCTCCTGCCCACCACCCCACCTGCCAGAGACCCCCCTGGATCTCCCCCAACCCTGCCTGGCCCCCACAGGTGTCCCTCCCCACGAGCAACATTGAGGTGACCACACCCACCTTGGCCGCACCCACCCAATCTGCCATGACCACCACAGCCACACCCATCCAGTGAGCCACGGCCACCTGGCACCCGGCAATAAATAAGTGGGTTTTGGGTTGCAGTTTGGGCACTCGGTCTCTAAAAGGTTTGCCCTCACTGATATAGGAAGCAGAATACAAGATTGATATGTTCACATTTTTTATTTCTAGTCAAAGGGAACATAAGTAGCAGAACTAGAAAGACTTCTGTTGGCTAAATGAAAGATCAGTTGGCTATGTTTTTATAAGCATGATCATCACAAAATGATTGTGACATCAACTGAGGGAAACAATATGGAATAATCTAAAAACCATGGAAAACAGAAAAAAGTGTTCATGTGTATTCAAATATAATTGTTTTTGGCAAAAACTGTTCATAATCAGCTGTGTTTAGGAAAGAGATACATTTGAAATTAAGGAAAGATGGATGCCTTAAATTACTCATGGACATTATATCAAAAGACAATGATATAGATGGAGAGACACATTTGACCAGAGATCTATTTCCAATAGAAAAAGACCCTAATAATGTTGAATTAATTAATGCTTTGTAACTTCAAGCGCAATTCATTTAAAGCATGACAAAGATATTAAAAGCTATTTAAAGAAATATGGTCTTATCCCATGGGTTTAAGCTTGTAAAAAGATTTAAAAATAGGGAATTATGCAGGCTTGACAGTGTTAATCCACTGAGAAATATTAAGCTTTCTACAGTTACCTCCCAAATAAACAGACATTACAAAGAACTGCCTACACTAAGCCAAGTCTCCTTTTTTTGGGCTTTCTAGGCATGCAATGAAAGGATGACAGCAATAAACTATGGCTGAAAAATGAAATGTGTGGCTTGACCTTTGAGCTTGTGTCTGTTTACTTTTAGGAAGCACAAGGAAAGTATACAGAGTCTGCTTGGACCAAGGGATTTGGCAAAACATCGAAAACACAACAGAAGTTTGGAGTAACCGTTCAGAATGCCTCGAGGAGAATAATTTTAAAGAAAAAGTGAGCAGGGTCATCTTTTATGGGAGATACATTCACCATTTTTCTCAGGAAATCTCTTTTGGCCTACTGAGTACAGGCTAAGTGAAACTTGGCTTAATGCCAGTAATTGTACATTGTGGGATCTTGGTGTCCTAGTGGACAATTGCTTAAATGTGAGCGCCAAAAGTGTGTGGCAGCATCCAAAAAAGGCAATGCAGTCCTAGGCTGCATTAATAAAGAATTAATATAGAATCAAGATCAAGCAAAGTTCTAGTACTGCTTTACAAAGCCTTAGTAAGATCACACTTGAAATATTCCATCCAGTTTTGGTCACCATATTGTGAAAAAGATGTTGAGAATCTGGAAAGAGTGCAGAGAAGAGCAACAAAAATGATTAGGGAGCTGGAGACTAAAACATACAAGGAATTGGGGATGTCTAGTCTAATGAAAAGAAGGACTGGGAGGGATATGATAGCACTGTTCTAATATCCTACCAAAATGAGGAGGTCAAACTATTTTCCAAAGCACCAAAAGGCAAGACAAGAAACAATGGTTGGAAAGAAACCAAGGAGAGAAGCAACCTAGAACTAAGGAGAAATTTCCTAACGGTAAGAGCAATTAACCAATGAAATAGCTTGCTCCATCACTGAAGGCTTTAAAAAAGAGACTAGACAACCATTTGTCTGAAATGATATAGGGTCTCCTGCTCAAGCCGGGGGGTTGGACTAGAAGACCTCCGAGGTCCCTTCCAGCTCTATTAGTCTATTATTCTTATTTGGTACTGTGATTACAGCTCACCTATGATGCACGATGCAATTTACTTTGCATGAAAATAGGTAACATTTGTTTTAGAAAAGAGGGTTAGTATGATTTAGACTGGAGGCTTAAGGAAGTTCCCCTCCCTCTCTCTTTTGGGATTACAGACTACAGAGTTTATTCAAAAGAAACAGGAAGAACACATCAAACTAATCTGAGAGACAAGCCATAAATACACTCAGCAAGAGTCCAGATTTCCTTTAGTTTCCTTATTGATTGTACAGCCTCCTTTGAGAATTTGCAAACTGGGTTTCTGTACTCCAGAGAACCCTAACTTGTAGTGATTTTTTTACAAGATGAGTTCAAAAGTATAGTTTTAATAATGTTATGGCTCCCAGGTACAAAATATAGATAGGGTTTTCAACATTCAGATACATGCACAGTAATTAAATAGCACATATGATCTATTTTCCACAATGGACCTATATAAATCAAGATGGGAAGTCAATACAGAATGCAGGTTTGTCTAACAAAACAAAATAAATAAATTTCTCTTACACGCATAGAGAAAGAAGCACACATATACAGAGAGAGGGGGGGATGGAGAGAGGAAGAGAAAGAGAGAGAGAGGGAGAGAGAGAGAGAGGGAGGGAGAAAGAATGAGAGAAAGAGAAAGGGGGAGGGAGAAAGAGAATGAGAGAGAGAAAGAGAGAGAGGGAGAAAGAAATAAAGACAGGGAGGAAGAAAGAGAGAATTAGAGAAAAAAAGAGAGAGGGGGGGGAGAAAGTGAGAGAGAGAAAGAGAAAGAGAGAGAGAGCCAGAGAGAAAGAGAGAGAATGAGAAAGAGAGAGAGGGAGGGAGCGAGAGAGAGAGGGAGAAAGAAAGAGAGAAAGAGAATGAGAGGGGGAGGGGAGAAAGAGGGAGAAAGAGAGAGGGAGTCAGAGTGAGAAAGAGAAAGAGAAAAAGAGGGAGAGAAAGAGAGGGGGGAGGGAGAGAAAGGGAGAGAGAAAGAAAAAGAAAGAGAAAGTTAGGGAGAGATAAAGAGGGAGAAAGAGAGAGTGAGAGAGAGAGAGAATGAGTGAGAGTTACAGAAAGAGAAAGAGAGGGAGAGGGCGGGCAGGAGGGAGAAAGATACAGTGACAGAGAAAGAGAGAGGTGGGAGGGAGAAAGAGTGTGAGAGAAATAGAAAGTGAGAAAGAGTGAGAGATGGAGAAAGAGAGAGAGAGAGATGGAAAAGTGAGAAAGAGAAAGAGTGAGAAAAAGAGAAAGAGAGAAAGAGAGAGAGAGACGAGAAAGAGAAAGTGAGAGACAAAAAGAGAGTGAGAGAAAGAGAGAAAGAGAAAGACAGAGATAGAGAAAGAGAAAGAGGGAAAGAGAAAGAGGGTAAAAGAGAGAAAAAGAGAGAATGAGAGAAAGAAAGAGAAAGAGGGAGAAAGAGGGGGGGAGAGAAAGAGAGGGGAGGGAGAAAGAGTGAGAGATAGAAAGAGAAAGAGGGAGAGAGAGAAAGAGAGAGGGAGAGAAAGAGAAAGAGAGATGGGGGAGGGAGAAAGAAACAGTGAGAGAGAGAGAGAAAGAGAGAGAGAGAAGGGGAGGGAGAAAGAGAATGAGAGAGAGGGGGAGGGAGAAAGAATAAGAGAAAGAGAAAGAGAGGGGGAGGGAGAAAGAGACAGAAAGAAAGAGGGAGAGAGGGAGAGAGAAAGAGAGAAAGAGGGAAAGGGAGAAAGGGAGGGAGAGAGAAAAAGGGAGAAAGAGGGAGAGAGTGAGGGAGAGAGCGAAAGAAAGGGAGAGGGAGAGACAGAGAAAGAGAGAAGGGGGAGGGAAAAAGAGAAAAGAGAGTGGGGAGGGAGAAAAGAGAAAGGGGAAGGCAGAAAGAGTGAGAGAAAGAGAAAGAGAAAAAGGGAGAGAGAAAGGGGGAGGTGGAAAGAGAGAGAGGGAAAAAAGAAAGAGAAAGAGTGAGAGAACGAAAGACAAAGAGGGGGAAGGGAGAAAGAACGAGAGGAAAAAAGGAGAGAAAGAGAGAGTGAGAGAAAGAAAGAGGGAGGAGAGAGAAAGAGAGAAAGAGGGAGACAGAGAAAGAGAAAGAGGGAGAGGGAAAGACAGAAAGAGAAAGAGAGAGAGAGAGAGAGAGAGAAAAGAGGGGGGGAGAAAGAGAGAGAGAGAGATAAGGGAGAAAGAGAGGGAGAAAGAAAGAGAGACGGGGAGGGAGAAAGAGAGAGTTAGTGAGAGAGAAAAAAGAGGGGGGGGAAGGGAGAAAGAGTGAGAGCACCAGAGAGAAAGAGAGAGAATGAGAAAAAGAGAGAGAGAGAGAGAGAGAGAGAGAGAAAGAGAATGAGAGAGATGGGGAAGGGAGAAAGGGAGAGAGAAAGAGAAAGAGAGAAAGTTAGGAATAGAGAAAGGAAGAAAGAGAGAGAAAGAGAGGGAGATAGAGAGAAAGAAAGAGAAAGAGTGAGAGAGAAAGAAAAACTGAAAGAGACAGAAAGAGAAAGAGGGAGAGAGAGGGGTTAGGAGGGAGAAAGATACAGTGACAGAGAGAAAGGGGGAGGTGGGAGGGAGAAAGAGTATGAGAGAAATAGAAAGAAGGAGAAAGAGTGAGAAAGAAAGAGAAAGGGAGGGAGAGGGAAAGGGGCGGGAGGGAGAAAGATAGAGTGAAAGAGAAAGAGTGGGGGAGGGAGAAAGAGAGTGAGAGAGGGAGAAAGATAAAGAGAGGGAGAGAAAGAGAAAGAGGGGGGAGAGAGAAAGGGAGAAAGAGAGAAAGTGAGAGAGAAAGAAAGAAAGAAAGAAAGAAAGAAAGAAAGAAAGAGAAAGGGAAAGAGAGAGGGAGACAGAGAAAGAGAAAGAAAGAGGGAGAGGGAGAGGGAAAGACAGAAATAGAAAGAGAGAGGGAGAAAGAGAGAAAGAGAAAGGGAGGGAGAGGGAAAGGGGTGGGAGGGAGAAAGATAGAGTGAAAGAGAAAGTGGGGGAGGGAGAAAGAGAGAGGAAGAGAGTGGGAGGGAGAAAGAGAGTGAGAGAGAGGGAGAAAGACAGAGAGAAAGAGGGTGAGGTAGAAAGAGAGTGAGAGAGAAAGAGAAAGAGAAAGGGGGGAGAGAGAAAGAGTGAGAAAGAAAGAAAGAAAGAGGGAGAGAGCAAGAGAAAGAGAGAAAGAGGGAGACAGAAAGAGAAAGAGTGAGAGAGAGAAAGAGAGTGAGAAAGAAAGAGAAAGGGGGGAGGGAGAAAGAGAGAGAGAAAGAGAGAAGGAGAAAGAAATAGAGACGGAAGGGAGAAAGAGTGAGGTGAGAGAAAGAGAGAGAGGGGAGGGAGAAAGAATGTGAGAGAAAGAGAGAGAGAGCCAGAGAGAAAGAGAGACAATGAGAGGGAGGGAGGGAGAGAGAGAGAGAGAGGGAGAAAGAGAGAGAAAGCGAATGAGAGAGGGGGAGGGGAGAAAGGGGGAGAGAGAGAAAGAGAGAGAAGGAGAGAAAAAGAGGGAGAGGGAGAGAAAGAGAAAGAGGGGAGAGGGAGAAAGAGAGAATGAGAGGAAGAGAGAGAAAGAGGGAGAAAGAAAGGGAGATAGAGAGAAAGAGAGTGAGAGAGAAACAAAGATTGAGAGAGAGAGAAAGAGAAAGAGGGAGATAGAAAGAGAGAGGGGGAGAGGGAGAGAGAAAGAGTGAGAGAGACAGAAAGAGAAAGAGGGAGAGAAAGAGGGCAGGAGGGAGAAAGTGACAGAGAGAAAGAGAGGTGGGAGGGAGAAAGAGTGTGAGAAATAGAAAAGAGAGGGAGAAAGAAAGAAAGAGAAGGAGTGAACTAAAGTGAGAGAAAGAGGGAGAGGGGGCGGGAGGGAGAAAGATAGAGTGAAAGAGAAAGAGTGGAGGAGGGAGAAAGAGAGAAAGAGATAGAGGGAGAGGGAGAGAAAGAGAGCGGTAGGGCGAAAGAGAATGAGAGAAAGGGAGAAAGGGAGAGAGAGGGAGAAAGAGTGAGAAAGGGAGAGAGGGAAGGAGAAAGAGAGAAAGGGGGAGGTAGAAAGAGAGAGAGAAAGAGGGAGACAGAGTGAGATAGGAAAAAGTGAGAGAAAGAGTGAGAAAGAGAAAGAGAGAGGGGGAGGTAGAAAGAGAGCGAGAGAGAAAGAAAGAAATAAAGAGAGGGAGGAGAGAGAAAGGGAGAAAAAGAGAAAGTGAGAGAAAGAGAGAGGGAGACAGAGAAAGAGGGAGAGGGAGAGGGAGAAGGAAAGACAGAAATAGAAAGAGAGTGAGAAGGAGAAAGAAATAGAGACGGGGAGGGAGAAAGAGAGAGAGGGGAAAGAAGAAAGAGTGAGAGAGCTAGAGAGAAAGAATGAGAAGGAGAGGGAGAGAGAGAGAGAGAGAAAGAGAATGAGAGAGATGGGGAGAAAAAGAGAAAGAGAAAGTTAGGGATAGAGAAAGGGAGAGAGAACGAGAAAGTGAGAAAGTTAGGGATAGAGAAAGAGGGAGAAAGAGAGAAAGAGTGAGAGACAAAGAGAAAGAGGGATAGAGAGGGTTTAGGAGGGAGTGACAGAGAGAAAGGGAGAGGTGAGAGGGAGAAAGAGTGAGAGAAATAGAGAGAGAAAAGGGGAGGTAGAAAGAGAGAAAGAGAGAGGGAGAGAGAGAAAGAGAGAAAGATAGGGGAGGGAGAAAGAGAAAGGGACAGAGAGAGAGAAAGAGGGGGAGGTAGAAAGAGAGTGAGAGACAAAGAAAGAGAGAATGAGAGGGGGGAGGGAGAAAGAGAGAGAGATAGAAAGAAAAAGAGAGGGAGAAAGAGAAAGAGGGAGAGAGAAAGGGGCGAGGTAGAAAGAGAGAGTGAGAGAGAAAGAGAAAAAGAGAAAGAGGGGGAGGGGAGGGAGAAAGAGACAGACAGAAAGAGAAAGAGGGAGAGAAGGAGAGAGAGAGAGAAAGAGAGAGAAAGGGGGAGGTAAAAAAGAGTGAGAGAAAAAAGATATCGAAAGAGATAGAGAGCGAGAAAGGGGGAGGGAGAAAGAGTGAGCAAGAGAAAAAGTGAGAAAGAGAAAGAGAGAGGGGGAGGGAGAAAGAGAGTGAGAGATAGAAAGAAAAAGGGAAAGAGAAAAAGGGAAAGAGAGAGAGAGAGAGTGAGAGAAAAAGAGAAAGGGGGAGGGAGAAAGGGAGAGGGAAAGTTAAAGAGAGGGGGAGGTAGAGAGAGTGAGAGAGAAAGAAAGAGGGAGAGAAAGAGGGAGAGGGAGAAAGCAAAAGAGAAAGAGGGAGAGAGAAAGAGGGAGAAAGAGAGAGGGAGTGATAAAGGGAGAAAGAGAGAGAAAAAGAGTGAGAGAAAGAGAGAGAGTGAAAGAGATAGAGAGGGAGAGAGAAAGAGAGAAAGAGAAAGAAAGAAAGACAGAGAGAAAGACGGGGAGGGAGAAAGAGAAAGACGGGGAGAAAGTGTGAGAGAGAAATAAAAATAGAGGGAGAGAGAAAGAGAAAGAGGGAGAGACAGAAAGAAAAAGGGGAGGGAAAAAGAGAATGAGAGAAAGAGAAAGAGTGGGGAGGGAGAAAGAGAGAGAAAGGGAAGTAGAAAGAAAGTGGGAGAGAGAAAGAGAAAGAGAGTGAAAGAGAAAGAGAAAGACGGAGAGGGAGAAAGAATGAGAGAGAGAAAGAAAAAGAGAGAAAGAGAGGGAGAGAGAAAATAAGGTGGAAAGAGAGTGAGAGAGAAAAAGAAAGAGAGAGAGGAAGAGAGAGTGAGAGAAAGAAAGAAAGAGACAGAAGGGGAGGGAGAAAGAGAGAAAGGGGGAGAGAGAGGGGGAGGGAGAAATAGATTGAGAGAGAGAGAAAGTGAGAGAGAAAAAGAGAGAGAGAATGGAAGGTAGAAAGAGAGAGAGAGTGAGAGAAAGAGAGAGAAAGAGAAAGAGGGGGAGAGAAAGGGAGAAAGAGAGAGGGAGAGAGAGAAAGATAAAGAGAAATAGAGAAGGAAAGACAGAAAGAGAAAGTTGGAGGGAGAAAGGGAGAGTGAGAAAAAGAGAAAGAGAGAGAGACAGAGAGAGAGAGAAAAAGAGAGCGAAAGAGGGGGAGGGGGAGGGAGAAAGAGTGAGAGAAAGAGAAAGAGAGAGAAAGACAGAGAGAAAGAAAGAAAAAGAGTGAGAAAGAGAGGGAAAGGGGAGGAAGAAAGAGAGTGAGAAAGAAAGAAAGAAAGTGAGAGAAAAAAGAGGGAGAGAGAAAGAGAGGGGGAAGCAGAAAGTGAGTGAGAGAGAGAAAGAAAGTGAGAGAAAGAGGGAGAGAGAGAAAGAGAGAAAGTGGGGGAGGTAGAAAGAGAGAGAGAAAGAAAGAGAGAGAGAGAACGAGAAAGAGAAAGAAAGAGAAAGAGAAAGAGGGAAAGAGAGAAAGAGTGAAAGAAAGAGAGAGCGGGGAGGTAGAAAGAGAAAGAGGGAGGAAGGGAGATAGAGAAAGACAGAGAGTGGGAGAGGGAGAGAGAAAAAGAAAGAGGGGGGAGAAAGAGAATGAGAGAAAGAAAGAGAAAGATTGAGAGAGAGAGAGAGAGAAAGAGGGAGGGAGAGAGAAAGAGATAGAGGGGAAAAGAGGAGGAGAAAGAGAGAGAGAAAGAGAGAGAGGGAGAAAGAGTGGGAGAGAAAGAGAAAGGGGGAGGGAGAAAAAGTGAGAGAGAGAAGGAGAAAGAGAGAGGGGGTGGAGAAAGAGAGAGAGAGAGAGAGAGAAAGAGAGGGGGGGAGAGAGAGAGAAAGAGACGGAGAGAGAGAGGAGAGGTTCTTACTGACACCCATTACAGATTTTTTTTGCATACCACGTTTTAATGCCTTCTCCACTGCAGGTTAAATAGCAGATATAATGGAATCCCTCTAGTGCTTAAACAAGGTCCTCATTCTCTGATGAACCTGAAACTCCAGGACATGTTTTTGTAAAGCATATATTATATGTGCAACAGCATTTTCAATTAATTTGCCCTTGAATGGCCTCCTAAAGTTTTGTGCCTTAGCCATAAAACTGTATCCTATCCAGTTTTGTTAATAGAAGCACACTATGCGTTAAACTATTAAAATGTTATTATAATTTTTTGGATTATACTTGGGTTGTTTTAATTTATGTTTGTAATGGTTTTGGCCCTCATAAAGATTAATTTATTTAATTGATTAAGCTCCTGTTTTTGAGTTTCCTCTGGCTTGGCACTTTGGAGCACATAAGCAGCTGTCATTGGAGAAGCAATAATCAGATATTGCATTCTGTTTCAGTTACTGGCTTCTAAGTGTTTCTCTGATAATAAATATGGTAGGAAGTGGGTGGTTACCTGGCTTGTTTGTACTATCAGATGATCAGATTTGTTTCTTAATATGATACCTCTGATTGCCTTCTTTTTTTAAAAAAAAAAATCCTGTTAGGAGAAAAGCCCCAAGAGTTAAAAAAGATAGAGGTATAGAGAATGAAATGGAAATGGACTCAAAGTGATTTACAATAAGGGTAATAAACCAGAGGTATTGCAGCTAAAATTTTTGAGTGATCTTCAAGGAAAGGGCATGTAGAGTGAATTATAGTCATGTGAATTACTGTACTACCTCTATGAGGGAGCTTGAAAATTAAGAATTTTGATAAATGAATGAATGGATGGATGGATGGATGGATGGATGGATAGATGGATGGGTGGATGACCAGGGTTCTCACTCATGTAGTTTTATCAGGGATGCCTAAAAGTTTACAGTCAGGTGTATGTGTCAACATAGCACTAGCTGTTTTGGGAACTAAGCACATATATCTGACATTTATGGATCTATCCCCCTCCAGGAAAGTTGACTACATTAACTATGTTGTTTCTTTGTTGTTTCCAGGCAGAAGACCTTACATTGTTTATGGTGTTCGAAAAACTTTCTACTGTGGGATATTCTATTTCTCTTGTTTCCCTTGTCTTAGCACTCTTCATACTGCTGTTATTTAGGTCAGTATAACTTTTTTTTTTCAGTAGAATATGGTCTGTTTAAACTATTCATTAGAATGTTTTATTTATTTGATTTATGCATCACCTTGTTGTGGCATATGTTAGAACAGAGAAGGAGATGATGTCAGACCTTCCCAAAGGATTTCCCTTGATCACTGACTATGAAATATACAAAGAGCTAAAAAATGTCTTTCTACAAGGGCCAAATTAGATATTAACAAAGAAAAAATAGATGAGGGAAGGAATTTCAGAAGGAATTTGGAAAGTGTCTGAGGCATGAATCACAAAATTATAGACTACCGTAAATGCCGGCGTATAAGGCGACTTCCGCGAGCGCTGAAATCAGCGCCAAAGACGGGGGTCGCTTATACGCCGAGTCATCTTATACGCCGGAAATACTGGTAGTTTCCGGCGTATAAGACGACGTTCTAGGAATGCGGCTCCGCGATAAAGACGGGGGTCGTCTTATACGCCGGGTCACCTTGTACGCCGGCATATACGGTACTTTAACAATGAAAAAAGTGTTTTTCATATCTCATGCCTTAGTAAAATAATTGTTTTTGATGACTGTCAATAACATATCAAATATTGAAAATATTTGAAATGTATCTTATCCCGGCATATTTATTTTATCATCCAAAAAAGTTTTGGCCTAAAGAATTAAATCATCCTTCCTCAGGTAAATCTGTGACAATAGTGATTAGTTTAGAAATATCAGCCATAGAGAATCAACATTGAAATTAAAAGAAATCACTGCTGATGAATCATGGCATTCAATTATGTATTTGTTTGTTTATTTATTTACCCTGGTGGTACAGTGGTTAGAATGCAGTATTGCAGGCTAAGTCTGGAGTTTGATCCTATTAGGGCTCAAGGTTGACTCAGCCTTCCAAGGCTGGTGAAATGAGGATCCAGATTGTTGAGGGCAATATGCTAACATTGTAAACCATCCAGAGAATGTGCTAAAGCTCTATGGGGCACTGTATAAGTCTAAAGGTTATTGCTATTACTGTAAACACATATTTACTACCAAGCCAGCTCCACGTATTTTTCAGGCTTAATGAACTAGAATGGAATAGTCTTACTGAGCTAAGCTTAGTTACCAGTTATTCAAACAGACATTTTAAATGCAAGTGAACAAGCTTACCGCAAGAGGGAAGATTGTTAGTAAAATCCATATGTAAATGGACCCATAGGATTCCTAAATTACAATTAAAATTTTACTACCAAGAATAGGACAGTACAGATTGTAAAGAGAGGAAGAGAAGGGAGAAAATCCAAACTCTCTCAAATCATTTTGACTGAACAGAAGTATAAAACATCCTGACCCTCGTGTACTTGATTCAGCTCCGTTGTAATTCACATTGTATGACTTTATGTTCACACATAAAAGCAATGAAATACATCAGCTACTGAGCCTGAGAAAGTAGAATAACCAGCAGAAGTTTGCCTAAAAGTTTTAATATGCTTACTTGATGGCAAGAACATTATTCTTTTTTTAAAAAAATGAACTTTGACTGTGCTAAATATTACAGTAATGTGTTGAGTAGGTTTCACAAAGCTATCAAAGCCTCAGGATTCATGTTGTGTTTGAAGGACGCTACATCATATCAGTAATGAACCATGTGGAAGTACAGTAATAGGCACCTTAATAAGTTACATTAATAAAATGATACAAGCTAAAGTCGTAGCAAAGATTTTAATGAGAGGCCACTTAATGTAACGAAGTGTATAGACTGGAGAATAGGAACAGAAAGAAGAGGAGAAATAAGAAGAATCTTAATAGTTCCCTATGGGGATTGGTTTGTTTTGATACCTTTGAGCCTAGAAATGTCCCCACAGTTTTCTTTGCGGTATTTCGGAAGTAGTTTGCTCTTGCCTTTTTCCAAGATCTGGAAGAGAGAAACTGGCCCAAGGTCATGCAGCTGGCTTTGTGCCTAAGACAAGACTAGAATTCATGGTTTCCATGTTTCTAGCCTTGTGCCTTTAATCATTACACCAAACTGGCTCACATACGAGACAACTTTGTACAGGTGTGGTTTAATAAAAACTATGACACGGAACTGAATCTTCTACTTTTCTCCAATGCTTATTTCTGAGTACTTTGTACTTTGCTCTGTTCTTCAATGTTGTGTGAGGGTTGGGGCTTCTTTTTTTTAATCATTTCAAAGTTTTTGTGAAAACTATAATTTATTCCAAAGTTTATTATATAAACATGCCTATATAATTCATGAAGAAGACAGCAATCATTTCAACTAAAAAGGCCAAGTATTTGGAAGGAAGTGGGCTGCCTTGTAATGATTGTTTATGATCCGTGGTTAGATAGTGGACAAATAAGGAGACTTCTTCTAATATGCAGAAGCAAGATGAACTTTATATGATCTACAATTTATGCACATTTGGTTGTATCTGTTTCACTGATGCTTTTCAAAATATGCCAATTCCTTGTGGATCATTTGTAATCAACACAACTCTCCTTGAGTTCTAATTAGGCAAAGTTATTAATTGCCTAATTTCTGAGTTTTGTTCTCTTTTGCACAATTTCCTTTTTCAGTGACGTGTAAATATTACTTACAGAAACCATAGCTATTGATTATAAATGTGTCATGGGTACGGAAAGAATACTCTCAGATTAAAATCTACATATTCTCAAATTAAAATCTACATATTCTCAGATTAAAATCTACATAGTTGGATTTTAAAATGTGAAAGTTACATAAGGATATTTTCATAAAAATCTAAAAAATCTCCTTTTTTTAGTATTTAGCATTACATTAACTTTTAGTACTAGACCAGGCTTCAGTTTCATTTTTTCCTCTGAGTTGGGCTAATCTTAACATGAAAAGATCCAGAACCAAGGTACAAATTAATGTTTAATATTACTGTACTCTTATGAACTTTTGGAATGAGGGTGGTGATGGGTGAGGGGCAATGACTTTGATTCCAGCTGCAACACTTGTTGCTCTGTTTTTGCTCAGTCCTGCACAACTTTATATAGCTACATGCATTTCTTTAAAAAAAAAAGAATTAGAACTTTAAAATACTGCAACGTTGACACTCTTGATCGCAATCATCAACATTATACTCTCAGCTAAACAGCTATCTTTTCATTTGCTCTGTTGAGACTAGAAGAACATTTTCCAGTACATAAACAATGGCAGAAACATCTTACAAATAATAATTCTTTTGTTTTAAATCAACAATTATTCTAGCTGTTCATAAGATAACACAGGCTCTGAGGACGTGAAGGAGATGCACAACAAAGTCACTGACTGTCTAGCAAATTATAGTTGAACTATTCCAGTCTACAAGGATTCTTCTACACACAATGCATTAATTTGTCTTAATTGACCTCTGGAATCTGGTTTTGTTGAAAATAAGAGCTTTCACTTGTCAAACACAGGAATGTTAATGTGATTATATTATGAGAGGAGGTCTCAAGTAGTCCTAAAAGTCTGAGCTTTTTGAAATGATGATTTCATTTCTCCCCTTTTTAAAATGTTTGAACACTCACAGTCCCTGCTGTATTGGGAGCATACAAGAGAGGAATGCAATGGAAGAATGTTTGGCCAGGCAGGGACAGGATTATGAACATCTGAGTGCAGATAGTCCTCAACATATGACTGCAAATGAGCCCAAATTTTCTGTTGCTAAATGAGACAATAGTTAAGTGAGTTTTGCCCCATTTTACGACCTTTCTTTCCACATTTGTTCAGTGAATCACTGAATTAGTAACACAGTTGTTAGGTGAATCTGGCTTTCCCATTGACTTAGCTGGTAAGGTGACAAAAGGTGATCACATGAACCCAGGACACTGCAACCGTCATAAATATGAACCAGTTGTCAAACATCCAAATGTAAATCACATGACCATGGGGGATGCTGCAATGATCATAAGTATGAAAAATGGTCACGAGTCATTTTTTCCAGTGCCGTTGTAACTTCGAACTGTGTTGCAAGTCAAGGACTACCTGTACATCCTCTCAAGGTCTGATCATCATATGGAGGGAATGGTGTACTATGGGATTCTTTGTAATGGAACTTTTGAACAGAAATGAATTTGTGCAGCAGCTGGGAAAAACTGATTATGTTGGGAGGACACAACATCGGGGGAATAAAAGCTCCTACACCAAATGCAGCAAAAGCTGGCTGGGACTCAATGAAGCACTGTCAATTGGCAGGAATTTGCATTTTCAGCAAAGACATCTGTGTAGCATCATACGCAGTTTTACCTGCCACATAACTAGCTAAGCAAACAGTCCAGTGAGCCCTTCCTGGTCAGGCCACCCTCATCCCCAAAGAAGAGTATAATTTCCCAGTCACTTCATGAAAAGAACATACTATATTGCTCTTCAGATAAGACTGTAACTAACTTTGGTGTATTCTTGTAACCTCTCCTCTCCTCTCTCTCTTCTCTTCTCCTCTCCTCTCCTTTCTCTCTTCTCTTGTCTTCTCTTGTCCTCTCTTGTCCTCTCCTCTCCTCTCCTTTCTCTCTTCTCTTGTCTTCTCTTGTCTTCTTTTGTCCTCTCCTCTTTTCTCCTCTCCTCTCTCTCTTCTCTTCTCCTCTCCTCTCCTCTCCTCTCCTCTTCTCTTCTCTTCTCTTCTCTTCTCTTCTCTTCTCTTCTCTTCTCTTCTCTTCTCTTCCCCTTCAGGAAACTGCATTGCACAAGAAATTACATCCATATGAATCTCTTTGCTTCGTTCATCCTCCGAGCTGCAGGAGTTCTAATAAAAGACGGCATAACCCGCAGTACTTATGAATTTCTTTCTTCGGAGTCAGAAAAGCCAGCTGATGAAAATGGATGGATTTCTTCCTTGAGTCCAGAGGTATTGCAGCAGGCACTCTCAATGTTAATATTAAGTGATTGAAGCAGCAAAAAATGATGTCTGTTCTTCTATAGATCCTTTTCTAAATTCAGTAGCAATAAAAGCTGCAGGGCTGAATTTTCTGGCAAAATTCATTCATGGTGCTTAAATGATGCTCATCCCTTGTTTACCACCTGTGAGAACTAGTGGCTAATTTTTAAGCAACAACAATTGATATACAAATGCAAGGTCAGGAAGCACATTAAATTTGTTTTTGTCTGTTTGAAATATTTATGGGCTACTGTTTTGTGAATCCCCGGAAAACCTAACACAATAAATTAAAACATCATATCCCAAAGCAAGGCAGTTTAAAAGAAGGGAGAAAGAAAGAGGAACAAAGTTAAAACATTAAACTTCTGAATGAGGTTTCAATAGATGTGCTAAAAATAGCAACTCTTTGCCCCAGGGACTTGGAGCATGAAGAGTAAATTACTATCGTATTGTCCCCAGGCAAGTACCTGCATTCCTGCAGCCAATAAACTCAAGGCCAAAATAAATTAATCCCTTATTGGGATCTGCATAGTGTTATTAACTCTTCTTTTTGTCTCTTCTTTGCAGAAACTAACCTTATGCAGGATGGCTCCCCTTTTCATGCATTATGTTGTTGGAGCAAATTTTTACTGGCTTTTAGTGGAAGGAATTTACCTCTACAGGTTATTAGTAGCTACTGTGCTGTTTGAGAAACATCAGCTGCTGAGATACATCTTCATTGGATGGGGTAAGCTTGGACTTTTCTAAGGTGATGGATTTGATTTATAAATTGGTAGGTTTATATCTTTCAGTCAATTTTGTGATTGGTTCAGCTATTCAAATGGAATGGGTCAAAACTAAACTTTGGTTTATTCAGTGGTGGGATTCAGCCGGTTTGCACCACTTTGGAAGAACCGGTAACTAATTTTTTGTTGCCCAGGCCCAGAATAGACTTATATAATAATAATAATAATAATAATAATAATAATAATAATAATAATAATAATAATAATAATAATAATAATAATAATAATAATAAAGTTGGAAGGGACCTTGGAGGTCATCTAGTCCAACCCCCTGCTCAGGCAGGAAACCCTATATCCTATACAGACAAATGGCTGTCCAGTCTCTTCTTAAAAACTTCCAGTGTTGGAGCATTCAATCCCGGAAGCAGCATCCACACAGAGAACTGGTTTATTTTATTTTATTTTTTATTTTTAAAATTTATAAGCCGCCCCACTCCCGAAGGACTCTGGGCGGCTAACAATAAAAAACACATAAAACATAACAGAACAACAGTACAAAGACAATCATCCAGGGGTCAGGTTTTATAAACCCCAGGCCTGCCGGAAAAGCCAGGTCTTAAGTAGCTTACGGAAGACCAACAGGGTGGGAGCGGTCCTAATCTCCAGGGGGAGCTGGTTCCAAAGCGTGGGCGCCATCACAGAGAAGGCCCTCCTCCGCGGCCCCGCCAAATGGCACTGCTTGGCCGACGGGGCCTGAAGGAGGCCCAGCCTGTGGGATCTAACCGGACGTAGGGAACTATGAGGTAGTAGGCGGTCTCGCAAATAGCCTGGCCCTGAGCCATATAGGGCTTTAAAGGTAATGACCAACACCTTGAATTGGACCCGGAGACCAATAGGCAACCAGTGCAGCTCACGGAGGATAGGTGTAACGTGGGTGTATCGAGGAGCACCCACTATCACTCGCGTGGCTGCATTCTGGACCAACTGTAGTCTCCAAATACTTTTCAAGGGTAGCCCCATGTAGAGCGCGTTGCAGTAGTCCAAATAGGTTGTTCACCTATTTGAATAAACGGGTTAATTACTCCTGTTCCTGCTGTTGAGAAGATTTCAGTCAACTTGTTCTTGATTTTTTGCATCAGATTATTAGAAAAATGCAGTCCTTGGAGTTTGCTGCTGTCATTATTTGCTTGGAGATTTTCAAAACACGCACAAACCAGAAGGCAAATATCTATGAACATATTTGTTGAGTGAAGAAAGTAGATTTTTACAAGGAACAAGCTCTGAGGAAAACAAAATTAATTGAGGCCGTTAGCCTTTCCTTTATTCACATAATCAGTGATAATCCCTACATATCAGCTATCCTTGTTACATTGAATATATTAGACTGTGAAGTTCGGGGGGAAAATTTAGAAGACGGCAATAGTAAACCAACTGAACTAGAAGAACAGCATTTAACTCAAAGGATTTGATACCCCCAGAAATCATATTAAGTCTTGTCATGCGATAATATCCACCTCTGTTTTTCCTTTCAGGTTTTCCAGTTTTGTTTGTAGCTTCTTGGGCAATAATAAAATACCACTGGGAGCAAGTAGAGTAAGTTTCTGTCTTAAATGTTCCTGTAACTGGTTTCATTGTTTCTTTGCTTGCCTTCTTTGTGCCAATAGAAAAAGGAGCCTTTTGTTTATTTGCCCAGAATGTTTAGACTAAAGATGACCAATCATTTGTTCTGCATTGCTAGGCAATAAGAAAACTTTTTGTAACCTCCTAAACATATGTTTTAATCCCCCATTCTTGATTAAGGACATAATCTTAACTTTTAAAAATATATTAGCTAGAAAGGTTAGGGTGCAGCAAAAATCACTTCTATGGACTATTCCAGGTTGAAAGAGGAGAAAAAGGACAGAAAAGAAAGAAAGTCAAGAAAGGATGGAAAAGTTCATCATGTCTGAACAGAAATCAGATTGCAACGATGTATACAACACTGATACAAGGGTATCTTAGGCTGTGAATAGTCCTAAACAAATAGCAAGACACTGAGATCAGAGTCAATACGTATTTATCCAGCCTAACAGCAGACTAGCTGGGCTTTGGCCATACTTAGACGATAAGATAAGATATGATAATTCTGTGGGTCGGGACCCCATTTGGGGTCGAACGACCATTTCACGGGGGTCGCCAAACAATGCAGTCCGCCATTTTTTTCTCCTTTTCCTTAGCTGTGCTACTCCCTTTTATTCTATTGGCTTTTGAAAGCCAATAGAATAGACTCTCTTGAATAGAGTCTAATTCTATTGGCTTTCAAAAGCCAATAGGAATTGTCCAAGCTGTCTCTGCCCTGCTGAGCCCACAAAAAGTCCCATTCTGCAAATGGTGCTGCACTAGTTGAGTAGTCCTCGACTTACGACCGTTTGGCGGTCGCGGCATTAAAAAGATTGAGAACCACTGCCCTATACCATTTCAGACAAACAATTGTCCAATCTCTTCTTGAAAACTTCCAATGGATTATTTGTTAGAAATCAAGAACTGTTGGTGTTGACTGTGGAAAAAAGTAGTATCCCTGTAGTTTCATATCAAGAACTATTAATTTCTAAAGTGTTACAGAACTGAAACCAAGTTTTGACTCTAAAGTGTGTCAAAGATAAACTTTATTTATATCCTCATCCTTGTGAAGCCTAGTGGCATAAAAATCTAGATGGCACTTTTTAATTCTATGCCACAAACAATTCTCATGAAAGGGAGGTTAGTCCATTGCTGGCTTTTGAATGTTTTGAAGAACGCCATGCGGGTGAGTCTTACGGATTTCCTGATTCCTGCTCCTCTTGCTATTCATCTTCTGGTCCATAAATTATATTCCTTTTCACCAGAAGAATGATGGATAGCTATCGCATTCTGAATCAGACTTCAGAGATTCAGAATAATTTCTGAATCCTAGATTCATCCCTCTCCAATGAATAAATGAGTACAATTTCAGAAGTTTTGTAGGAATCTCAAAAGGAAGGCTGGATTGCTAAATTTCTTTTAAATTATGGTGACCCTGTGGGGAAAAAGTGTATTATCCATACAATGGATTACTTTCCCAGAGAACAAAGCATAAGCTTTTAAAACTTTTCATATGCTTTTTAATACAATTCTATAATTCACCAAGTTGAATTATACAGTTTTTTAAAAAAATAATAACAAATGTGTTTTATTTTTTGTTATTACATGACATACATTTTTACTTGTTTTCTAGATGCTGGTCAACAAATGAAACCATGACCGTCTGGTGGATCATTCGAGGACCCATATTATTCTCCATTGTTGTAAGGATCATTGTAAAACTGCTTACTATTCTATTGTACAGAATAGTAATACAATACAATGTTGCTTTTAAGTCAAAATATGCACCTTAAATAATTTACAGAATTCAAGGAGCTGCAGTGATAGCAGAAGGAGAAAGACGATGGGGACTTGTAATAGATCTAGTTGGGACCCCTAGATTGAGAAAATCTTTGCTGTATGCTGGGATTAATACTCAAATCAGTGAGGTACAGCAAGAGCTTTCAAACTGTGGGTTAGAGTTCAACGTCTATAAACAACTTGATTACAAATCATAAGTAACATCAGGTCCTCAGTTCATATAGAGTTGCCTTTCCAATGTAACAAGGGCATGAAGAATTCCTGTTGTCCACCATCAATTTTTATGTAGCAGTTATGTAGTTTAAAAGACCCTAGATACTTGAAAACATTATATATTGTTTCAAAGTAAAGGTGTAATTACTCCTTAACAGGAGCCCAGTGTTGCCAAACAGCAACTTATCAGGAGGGATCTGTGTCCAATAATTACTTTCATAATTCTAAATTAGTAAGACAAGTCAAGCATTATTTATTGTTTTTGTGGCAATAAACACTTGAAAAAACCTTTATGTTCAAGAATATTTTGTATATATATTTCTTTTGTAGCGGCCACTTGGCCACTAGTGCTAAACCTCAGACTTTTTCTCTTCCTTTTGGTCCGCTACTACCCCTTTCCTTCCCCCCCCCATCACTATTAGTAAACTTTGAGCTTTCAAAATAACAAGCAGGACAGAGCAACAACATTGTATAGGAAATACCTGAAATCTGAGTCTCTATACATTAAAATTATTAAAAACAGTCTGAAGGGTGTTTCTTGCAGTTGTCTTGCTCTTAGGCAATCCCTGTAAGAGAAGATTTTTTCAGACAAACAAACCTTTATTGTATTTGGAGAAACCAACTAAGATGTGTGGTTTTTCCCCCCCTAAGGTTAATTTCTGCATCTTCCTGAAGATTCTGAAACTGTTACTTTCTAAACTTAAAGCCCAGCAGATGACCTTTCGTGACTATAAGTTCAGGTAGATATTGCTTTCTTATAATTTTCTGTACCATATTTTTTTAAAAAAAAATACATACTTGATTTGATTCACAGCCATATGGGAGTCAACATATTTGTCCAACATACATATTTGTTTGACATTTCATTCACCTGATAATGTAAATGAAAATCTGCAAAGATTTATATCAATGTTTCTCAATCTTAGCAACTTTGAGGTGTGTAGACTTCAAATCCCAGAATTCCCCAGCCAGCCATGCGCATCTACACATCTTAAAGTTTTCAATATTGAGAAACATTGGTTTACTTTGCTAAATGCATTTTTCATTGAAGATCCACAAGAATCTTTGCTTTTTCCTTAAGGAGAATGTGTCATTTTTAAAGAAATTGAAATTGCAACAAAAATAGATACTAATTTTAAAGTGAAATATGGGACAATATGCTCCATCAATCATATTTCATTTTTGATAGCAGGTTGGATGGAATCTCACAACTTTGAACAGAATTCAAAATGCAATAAAGAAAATAATAAATCCACAATTTCCAAAATGTAAACCTGGTAAATATTCATCAGGAAGAACATCAAAGTAGAAACAGTTTAAGGTTTTAGGAACAACCCTAAGAAAAAGTAGGAGTATTCTAATCTTGGAGTATGTCATTAAAGCTATGCCTACTGAATACCCTCAGGGCAAAAAGAGAAGAACTATATTCACTGTTCTTTGTTTACTTAGTATTTTAAAACAGAAAGAAATCCAATTATTTTTGTTAGGTGTTATTGTAGATTTTGATGTTAAAGAAATTAATTTGATGTTGAATCTTATAACAGCTACAAGATTATTGGTGGGGCAATATTGGAAGAAAGATTCTTTGCCTACTATGGAAGAATGGATACTCAAGGTGTCTAATTTAGCAGAAATGGCAAAAATTTCCGCTTATTTGAAAGATATCACAAAAAAGATATATCCCGGTTTGGAGAAGATGGATAGATTATATTCAGAATAAATATGAGACTAAAAAATATTATCTAGCTTATGAGTAAATTTTAGATTATTATTAATAGTTTAATATGATAGAATTTATATTAGTTTTAGTCTTATGGTTTAATTATATTATTATTTTCGTATTTAATTTGTTAATATTTATTTTGAAAAGGAGTTAAAGCACGTTATGGATTTGACTGTTTGTATAGTTGGGTAATGTTAGTTAGATTACGATTGTTTATTTGTAACCCTGTAATCAGCTCTGGGAAGTGGGGGAGGGGGAAGGGGGGAGGGATTTGAGATATATATTGTATAAAATCTTTAAAACTTTTAATAAAAAACAGAAAGAAATCCTTTCTCTTATCAAAAGGAAATATACTTACTCCCCAAGCCCTTCAAGTCTCACTAGCTTCCTTTGGGCCCTGCCTCTGACCTTGGGAGGGAGAAATCAGTTGGTTCTAAAGTCACTCAGACACTGTTCCAAGAATCACAGAGCTGCAGTCTTAGCATGGAATTATCACCAGAATGTTTAACGCTCATAGACATCTCAATCTAATCCCAAATCAATGTCTCAAGGAACTGACTGTCATAATTCCATTGTGTGTTTCTTGTTGAGTTTTATTTCAAGGATTTAATTCATGTTGGTGATTGTTTTCATTTTAAGATTGGCAAGGTCAACTCTTGTGTTAATACCTTTACTTGGAATTCATGAGACGGTTTTTAATTTCATCATGGATGATCATGTTGAAGGATTCTCCAGGCATGTCAAAACCTTCATCCAGCTAACCATCGGCTCTTTCCATGTAAGTTTGATGGAAGTGTATTAAACAAATTTAATATCAACTTTACAGAATGCAAATGTGAAAAAATATCAAAAAACATAATCACAGATCATTAATAAATGATGCATAATACAATAATCTTTAAAATATAATTTAAAAATATAATTTATTTGTAACCCTATAATCAGCTCTGGGAAGTGGGGGAGGGGGAGGGATTTGGTTCTAATTGTATTTTTAAAATACAATTTGATATAAACATTAAACTTTTACTACTGAATAAATATCTAGCATATCTGAAAAATACTAGCATCCCATAAAATTATTTGTCTAGAATTCTTTCCAAACCAAATACGATTTTTCAGTATTATTGACTAGAGCTTTTTGAAACAATATTTAAGTACAGTAGTGGCTGCCAAATTAAAATTTTCTCCTTTTCCTCACAAGTAGAGGAACAGATCTGGTTAACAGGTATAGTGATAATTCTTAACTAGCAATGCCTTCAATAAACTTAATCTTTGTTACTTATCTGACAAAAAGCAAGAACAAAAATCAAACCTAGTTTGTTATTGCTACCCCCCCCCCCAAAAAAGAATAAAAATCTAGTGGAGAAAAATCATATGTGCAGTATTTGGCTTAGCTTATATTTATATTATTTTTTATTTCTTTTAAATTTAACTTGATTGCTGTTGGAGACTTAGTTCAATTAAAACAATTCAGTGAAATACTTTTAATTATTAGGAACATTTTCAAGAGATTTCTTACTATAATTTCCCTGTCCTAATCTGATTTTAGAGTCTGATTATTTAGCTCTACAATATATTTTAATTTTTTTTGAAGACGTTAAACCCAAGAATGAGACATTTGAAGTCAGTTCCATGCTTGTTGGAAATGATGTGTTGTTCTTCAAATTTCATAAACCTACCTATTTTAGTCTTAGAATTCCACACATTTCAACCACTTCCACACAACAAAATTAGATTTATATCAGTCTAATATGGGTAGTTCTGAGAAGGTAATTTTAAAATATGTGCATAATAAATGAGGGAGCAGAATGAATGGGTCTTTTGGAAAAATTTCTTAAAGTTAATGCTCACCTTTCAAGATTCTACAGCCATATTCTAGGGAGATGTAAGTCTACAGGCATAAATGTAATATGCCCTAAACTTTAGATCACAAGCTTTCCTGCTCAGGAAGTAGTAAAGTAGTAAACCTTAGACTACAGGCTTTCCTGTAATGTTAAAAAAAAGTCTGATTAGGGAGAAATAATATATTTTATTGGAATCAACCATTGTAGTTTCAAATAGCAAGCCAGACATTTGCTCAAGCAAAATGTTCAAAGTAAATTTACGCAGATTACTCAGAAAGGATACAGTTCGAAACCTTTATGAATGTTAAGAGGCAAAAATAATTCTTGAGCAAGAGGAAGATAGTTGCATTCATGTTCAATTTGCCAGCATGATGGCTCATGTTTCAGGTAGTTTTTTTTGTAAATGTATTCTCTGATTATATAAATTCCAAGTCAAATTGTACTTTGGCACATGTTCCTCAAATCTAATTTATTTTCTCTTTCTCTTCCAGGGTTTTCTCGTAGCACTTTTATATTGCTTTTATAATGGCGAGGTACATTATCTTTTTCATTTCTCATTCTTCACCCCTCTGTCCCCACTCCAGTTGCTCAGAACATACTGGTTGATGATCATTCAGTTATGGAAAAATTGATTAAAGAATTATTAATTTTTACATTATACTACTTGTAATAGTTGAAAAGACACTGCCTGACCTAGCAAGTTGGCCACTTATTTGAGAACAGATGAACAGTCTATCACAGCGGTTCTCAACGTTTGTGTAACGATGACCCCCGTCACACAAACGTTATGCGCATGTGTGGCGCAGCGCCACCCCCGGAGGCGCGCCACCGCCCCCACGCACGGCGCGCATGCGCGGTGGCGCCCCCCGGAGGCGCGGCACCGCCCCCGGAGGGGACAAAATGGCGGATCGCCGCGTTTGGCGACCCCACAAAAGAGGTCGATCGACCCCAAATGGAGTCGCGACCCATAGGTTGAGAACCGCTGGTCTATCATGCCACACACAATAAGCCCATAGCTTTCCTGGGAGGGCATCTGTTTATGGAGAGAGTTTGGGGCTGCCCATTCTTCTAATAAGAGAGAAGCAGATGTAATCCAAATTGAGAGAGCAGATGCAAGAATTTTCCTCTTTCGGTTTTTCGGTGATTTTTCATGCCACTTTGCAAAGTGGTATAAAATGGATTGTAGTGATATTGGGGGTGTTGGGAGGGAATGCATTCCCATCCCCATTTCTATATTAACTGGTTAGATGCCTTTAACTTTTCATGCAGAATTATTGAGACAAAATAAAGATATGATCAATTCAGATGAATTCAGATGAATATGGGATTGTTTGATCTGGTGGATGTACCGTAAATGCCGGCGTATAAGACGACTTCCGCGAGCACTGAAATCGGCGCCAAAGATGGGGGTCGTCTTATACGCCGAGTCATCTTATACGCCGGAAATACTGGTAGTTTCCGGCATATAAGACGACGTTCTAGGAATGCGGCCCGGCTATAAAGACGGGGGTCGTCTTATACGCCGGGTCGCCTAATATGCCGGCATATACGGTTCTTACATTTGGATGTAGAGAGACAGAAATCAGTCACTCAGTAATCACCAGTAGCCATGCTATATAATAGCTATATTGCTATTAGCAATTGCAATAGCATTTAGACTTGTATCTAAATGCTTCACAGTGCTTTACAGCCCTCTCTAAGTGGTTTACAGAGTCAGCCTATTGCCCCCAACAATCTGGGTCCTCATTTTACCCACCTCGGAAGGAGGAAAGGCTGAGTCAACCTTGAGCTGGTCAGGATCAAACTGCTGGCAGTTGACAGAATTAGCCTACAATGCTGCATTCTAATCACTGCACCACCACAGCTCTTATTTAGAAGATACACAGTGGGAAAAGGCTGCTGTAATCCCATCATCTTTTCTCCTTTTTTCCCCTCCCAGGTAAGGGCTGAATTACGCAAACAGTGGTCTCGTTTCTTGCTAGCGGGCCCCTTTGTCTATATGCCCTGCTTTCTTGGAAAGAACATCAAGCGCTTAAGAAAATGTCCAAATAAACCGCATTTGAGCAATAACGGTCTTTCCGCTGAGGTGATGCAGCCTGCCAAGAAGCAAGCAGCCAAGGTGAGAACTTGCTGCAATGTGGAACGAGGCCCCGCAGCAAGACACAACCTCAGACCAAATGCTTCTGACAGCAGAAAAGAAGAAATTGCAAATGGGGAGACCATTGAAGAAGCCTTGGATGAAAATTAGGTTTTGAATTTTAAGGGGGAAAAAATGGATTTGCTAGGATCTATCTTTTGCACGGATGCAACTGGAATTAAAGATCCTGTGGAAAAGGAAAACAGCTTTGGGACATTCCCCCCTCCCCAATCCCTTCTTCATTTTGTCAGTAAATCAAATATTGGCATAGGCTAGGAGCTGCAACGGGTCACTTTTCTTGCTTCTCAGGAACTGGACCTACTATCAACACTATATGGGATAAACTGATCTCACACACACACACACAGTGAGAGCCTGCTGCTCCCTCTGAAACTTCCACTATTAGATCCACCAGAGGCTGACTGCTATTCTGAGTGAACCAAGGATCTGATCCCAGGAGGCTGCACTTCGGGACATCAAGGCCTTTTTTAATGATGCCACTGAAACAAGGAGCTAAATGCACCAAATGAATAACGGAAATGGTCTGAGAGTCAGTTTGCTCGCCATACATTTGAAATCTTGCATGTATTCATCTGAAAGTATATTTTTCAGCCTTTGCTAAAATAATAGTTAAATCAGAGCTACCATGGACACAGTTATTAATTGCTTTGTCTTTCAATATATTTTTGCAAGTCCTAATTTCTGTTATCCTTCCAATATATCTATAAAGCAAATCATTATGACTTCCATTATGCAGATAGAAAATTAGTTTGACTTAAGCCAGAGCAGAAAAATCTGAGAAGTTTGAAACAGCTGGATGAAATGAAAAAAAAAATGGGGAGAAATAGGGAGTTAAGAGACTGCTGTATGAACAGATCTTATTTCGCAGTCACACAAGCTGTGATACAACTTAAAAAGGCAAGATGAGGAAGCAATCAAGGGAGTTGGCAAGCAATTGGAAAGGATTCATTTAGGAATGTGCTCTCAATGTTTTTGTTTTAAGGGAAATATGACAGAAGCTCTTATCTCTTTCATCTCTGCCTATGTTTCATCTTCAAATATTCCTCAACTGTATTTCTTTCCAGAGGAGAGAGAATAGAGAATCTCCAAGCTCCAAAGTAGCCAGAAGCATCTGCATTCTGTCCCTAGATTCATGAGAAATGCTGGCTTTCTTCCTCCACCATCCTGAGTTTTGGGTTACCTTAAGTTACTGTTTTATTTTACTGCATACATTGGCCAGTAGCTGGGTGCTGCAGTGTTTTCTTTCCTTGCCAGTTGATGGCTTTTGCCCTTGCTCCAAGAATTAGGTTTATCTAATAAATATGGAAACATCAACATGATATTGCACATGAGTTTAGTTTAATCTGAGTTTAGATCTAAACTAAATTAGCCTTAGTTTAATCATAATCATTGTTCTTAATAACTCAGGAATCTATCATAATGTTTACAGTATCTCATATAGTTATTGTAAAACAGGACTTTTACCATAGAGAAGTTCAAAGACTTCCTACTTATACCCATTCTCCTAAGGTAAAGGAATTGGCTTTGTGCTATGGGTTGGCTTTGTGTTATGGGTAGCTGGTGGTTGGAGACTGGAAAAGTGGGCACAGACCTAGATGCACAAACAACTGAAAGCTAAATGAAGCAAATACCAACCATACCAACTCCAGAAGCTCCAACAGTCAATAACCAGCCTGCAACTGGTACAACATTTTCCTCTTGCAGCCTTTGTTTTAATGGTAGGACCAAGGAATCCAAAATTAGTATTTTATTACCAACAGAAAAGGGAGTAAAATGAAATGAAAAATATTTATTCCTAATTAATAGAAAGCTGCTGTTTCTAATACAGAATAGAAAGAGGAAACAGTAATATAATTAGTAGATATATCTTGATTCAAGGGGAAAAAAGAAGGGATTTAATAGCATCAGAATCTGGAAAGAAACTTAAACATGATAAATGGATTTAAATAGAGAGAACAAGGCATGAAAAAAGAGAAATAGAAATGAAAAGAACAGATGCTAAAATAACTTTTAGATAAATTAGTAGCCTGCAGGAGAGGTGGGTGAGGAAGATAGATGAAGCCTGACTGAGCAACTATGACATCCATGAGTATATAAAACCAAGAATTCTTGATAGACACTGGCTTGTACACTCTGGGCTAAACTGTAATATATGATTTATGATTGAATCTTCTATGGCTTAGTATGAAGTATGAACTGGGTGGCATTGGCTTACTCAAAATCCAGTGGGACGTATGTACCTTGCAAATGAGTTATAGATCAGATAATAATAGTTTTCAAGAAGTTGGTATAGTTTCATCTGCAAACTTTTGTAGCTGATTGTGGGATTCTTCTGATTTTGTTTCAGGGCAGGGAGGAGCTGTTTGTTTCTTTTTAAAAAACTTTAATTGTTTTGCACCAATTTTCCTTCTGTTGTGGATCTTGCAGGTTTTTTTTTCCCCTCCTCTCTTAGCACCAAGTATTAGTAAAGAAAAACATTATGTCATCATCACAGGAGATAAACCCCAAATGGCCATTTGAATTGCAAACACTTTGGCATATTCCAAAGAAACTTCATTCTAGCCCTTCTGAAATTAATGGGACTTATTTCCATGCGTCTCCATTTACAAACATGTGCCCCACATGCTAAAAACATCAGCTCCTCTGAGGCAAGCTTACACACTCTGGGATTCATCTCCCTACTGAAATGCTAAAGCAATGTTTATACAAGGGAAGTTGTATAATCCCTGTTCTATATCATTATTCTGGTCAGAAGGCTCCCCAGTTAATAAGCAAATCTCTCCCTTTGGTCAACGAGGAATGAGTAGTTTGTACACAAAGTCCCTTAGCAGGGTTTCTCTAAATAGGCAGGTAGAGCATCACCCATCAAACTTTTACTTGTCTATATGCATATGAAGGGCAGGAGGTTTTTTAATTATCATCTGGGAGACACTGAATAGGCAACAATGCCATTGCTTTAGATCAACTTTGTTTGAAGACCTGCTAAAAATTATTTTTATTATAAAATACTCAAATAAAATAAGTCAAAGCAAAATCATTCTTAAAGATGATGAAGACTGAATTTCTTGTTGCACATTGACTGCACATCACTCTACAGCAGACATGTCAAGCACAAGGCCCGGGGTCTGGATGTGGCCCATGAAGTGGTTTCATGTGGCCCGCGAAGCCATCCTGGAAACAATGAGGGAACGGCCCCAGCTGCCTTGGCCCTGGCCCAGGCCAGCTAGGAGCCCTGTACAATTTTGTGGTGGCCATTTATGCTGAAATGCATTCAGTTTTAGCTCCACAAGGTCGTCTAGAAACAGTGAGGAACCAGCCCCTGCCATGTTGGCCCCGCCCCCTGGGTGCATGCTGGGGAGGTGTCACCCTTTGTGAGGAATGAAGAAATGAACCATGCCTTGGTGCTTGCCCTGGTCCCACCCCCTTCTGCCAGAGAACCTCAGATCTGTCCCACTCCTGCCCAGGCCCCCACAGGCATCCTTGACACGAACAATATAGAGCTGGCCATGCCCACTCAGTAGGGCACACCCCTCCATCCACGCCCACCCAGTAGCCCCCCCCCCGAGGACAACCGCAATACTGATGTGGCCCTCAATGAAATTGAGTTTGACACCCCTGCTCTACAGATACTAACATGATCAGGTGTCTTTTAATCTTTCATATGGAGAGAGAAAGTACAATATTTTTGAAGGAATCTCCTGATTTTTTTTCCTTTGAAGTGAAAGCAAACAGATCTCCACTTAAGCTCAAATGCAAAAACTGATAGAGTCAAACATCTGTGGGGATCTACACACTGTCGGAATCTACTCACTATCCTTTGTTTCCGGCATCACTGTCTGCCACTAATATTACTACTTGCCATTCCAGTAAGTAAACTGAAAATCAGACAAGAAATGCAGCAAATGTTTGAAGAAGCATTCCAGATTGTTCAAAGGATCAAATTCTGCCATCTAGACTGGTTTTTTCTTTCTTTCCAGAATTCACAGTTTATCAGCTATTTTGCTCCCAGTGACAGAGGTAGGGCAGGAAGCTACACAGAATCACTCAATTTCAGACAGACAGCATATAAATTTGATTTAAAAAATATGCAGGTATTAAATACATTTTTTAAAAAAAAAAAACAACTTCAGAAAATCTTTCTGATTCCTTTTCCTTTTTTTGATGCCAATTATTATTATTTTTAATGTCTATAAACTTACCGCAGAGTACAAGTTGAGGGATTGGGTGAAATTGATTAGCTGTCAATTCAGGGAAGAAAACAGACGTAGAGGTAGCTCTTGATTTACAACAGTTCATTTAGTGAATGATCAGAGTTACAACAGCACTGAAAAATGTAACTTATGACAGGTTTTCACAGTTATGACCTTTGCAGCATCCCCAGGATCATGTGATCAAAATTCAGATGCTTGGCAACTGGTTCATATTTACGACTGTTGCTGTGTCCCAAGGTCACGTGACCACCTTTTGCGCTCATCGTATAAGCAAAGTCAATGGGGAAGCCAGATTCACCAACAACCAGGTTATTAATTTATCAACTGTGGTGATGCACTTTAACAACTGTGGCAAGAAAGGTTGTAAAATGGGGCAAAACTCACTTAACAAGTGTCTCACTTAACAACAGAAATTTTGGACTCAGTTGTAGTTGTAAGTCAAGGACTTCCTTGCCAGCAGCATTTGCTACACATAATGAGGAGATTGCAGGAAACTAAGAGGTCTTTAAAAGGATGCAAATAAATGCCTGGAGGAGGATCCTTTTATCTAAGGCAGTGTTTCCCAAACTTGACAATTTTAAGGCATGAGGACTTCAACTCCCAGAATTCCACAGCCAGCAACGCTGGCTGTGGAATTCTGGGAGTTGAAGTCCACATGCCTTAAAATTGTCAAGTTTGGGAAACACTGATCTAAGGCTCTTACCTGTAATGGCTAAGTAGACCATCCACCTTCAGCTGAAGGAAGTCACAGAAAACATATTGCCTAAAGGCTAAAGATTAGGGATTTGTAAGAATGAAGAAGGTATTTTAATAGTCATTCCATTGAATGGCAAAATAGAAGAAAACCTCATCCCCAAAAATAGAATACTGAGTGTCATCAGGAGCAGTTATGCTGTAATTAATAAAGGAGGAACCTGCAGGAATAACAAGCAAAGTTTTAGCTTTTAAGAAAATTTAGAACTGAGAACAAGTAATTAGGATCATAAGTGGACTATCTGCAAAAAAATTCTTAAATGCTTTCCATCAGCATGCAGGCTTTCCATAATCAAATAGGTTTTTATATTTTCCAGTAAGGGTTACGCAGCGCTTATCAAGTTTCTGTGCATGGTAATCATGACCTTATTATGTGGCAAATAAAATAAAATATCTGATAGTAGTCAGTGAAAATGCAGCACTTTAAGCAAAGGCCATTTTTACATCTTTTTGACACATGTAATCATTGCCACATTAAATAGGACTACCTTGAGTAGCTTAGTGAAGGAACTGCAATGTTCTCATTGAAGTTGTTTCAAGTGAATTAGATGGCCTTTACTATACTTTTGGCACTTTAGATATTTCATTACAAGAAGTTTATACATGAACTTTTAAGGTCACTTCTAAAAATAGTATTGACTTCCTTTCAGAAATACATTTTTGAGGCAAGAAAATTAATATATCTCTAGAGTCAGACAGAACACACAGTGCTGTAAACCAATCAATCAACCAACCAACCCCAAAAATCCAAATTATAGTGAATATCAAAAGAAGGTAAATTTGGTTTGCAATGTTAAGATAAACAATATAGTTTGGAATGCATATCTTCAATGGCCTATAAGATTACTTTTATTTACATAATTTCTTTACTTTTATCATAGCCAGAAAAGTCATGAGCAAATACCACAAGAACCTGTAAGTTTGCTGTAAACATTTTCAAAGAGCTGACTTCAGGAATGTAAAAGTGACCTCAGGTTGCAACTGTAAATAAAAACAAATTTTGCTATTTTGAAAGAAGAAATGTAAGATATTTCTAATAATGCATCTAAGAAGATACATTTAGTTTTAGGGAGAAATAATGTGCCTATGCACTCTAAATAAATAGTGCAGACTAACTTTTCAATACTTTCTCCATCCATTTTAAGTGATGCTTGCCAATCCTTCCTCTTTAGCCAGATCCCCCCTTTCTATTCTCTTTTTCTTCCTTTTACATTAGTTATAAGATGGGTTTTACATAATTCAGCTGACACCATGTGGTACACTAAGCCCAAGCAAGCTTTTAGAAACAAGCTAATTCTTTTAACAATAGACTTCTATATCTTTAATGTTAAAAAATAAAAGGCAATAGATCTTCATTTTGAGACATTTCATAGGAGCTAAGAAGCTTTGAAAGCTAAAATATGTCAGGTTTCTCAAATCTGTACTGTAAGAGAATAAGGACTACAGAAGCTTGTTTTTTTAATGAATTAAAAAAATAACTAAATTTCATGGGTTATAATTCTCATAATCCCTGACATGTCATTCTGAAATGCTGTCTGTCAAACATCAATAATTGTTCCAGTGCTCCTCTCCCATTTTCTTTGTTATCAGATAACTAGAGAGATCTGTCTTTGCACAGAGATAGGAGATTAAAATAGGGGTGGGAAGGCTGCCAAATTGAATTATCTTCTACTTGGCATTTCCTCTCAAACCTTCATTCCTTTCCTCAAGCTTCAGAAAAGTCATCAAGAAATCATTTTAATTTAAACCAGACTAAATACCACAGTAGACTTGATGAAAGCTACAACAAAGCAATACTTTTTATGAAATCCAATCCTTAAATAATTCCTATGATCATTATGTGCCTGTACTAGCTGATTCAAGCTGGGGACAAAGCATTTCTGACACCAGTTATCTAGCTGTGCCTGCAGAAAGCTGTGTTCGATCTTGTGCATCAAGAGGAGCCCTCGTCTTCCTCGCAATATAATCTAGTAAAATTCACACCATGAATCATTGTCTTCTGGAAAATGAGTTTTCTCTGCCTTGTTGCCAACCAGAATTTATGTGATTTGCGACCACTCCACACCGGCTCTCAAATGCATAATGTATTGAAATAAACAAAATGGCCATTGCATAGAAAATTCAAAGTGAGAGGACCAATTTGATATATTGTCCTGAACATCGGTAATTTCCAGGTTTAAAAAGGGAATGCAATTTTTTTTCCCAGATGCAGACATGTCTGAACAATCTGTTTGAGTATTTGAAATAATAACATTTGAAATCCTTGTTCATGCCCAGGAGCATGACAATAGCCATTTGGAATCCTTGTTTATCCCCCAGGAAGTCATATAAAGAAAAAAAGGGAAGAGGAAGATTGAAAGAAAGGCCAGGTTAGCTTCCTCTCCCCCCCCTCCCCAATTTCTCTTATTGAATTCTGGAAGGAAAACAGCTGCCACATTCCACACGGCTTCTCCCCTCCTTCAGATTCCAAGCATAACTGCTGGGTTGTCATGCAATTCTTTTTAAGGAAACTTTTGGGTGATCCTAAACCACAGTTCTAAGCAGGTCTGGCCAACCTGATCCATGATGAAATAACTTAATAGTTGTAGCTTAGCAATAGCTGGAGAATCTTCCATTTTCCATCTCTAAACAAAAAGAGGAACGGAAAATGGGAAAGAAACTCATTTGTCCGTGTTAAGCCAAAGGTTGATGACCAGAACTATCCTTTTTGTATGTTGAACAAACCCTGAAAAGAACAATTACTGGTAGCAGGGGAAAAAATTCCAATTTCATTCATTTCTGATACTTCCATAACTGTTGTGAGCAGAGTGCAAAAAAAATAGAACTTAAAAATATTACAATACAAATATATTCACTATCTTTATATTTATATAAAGCGTGAACACCAGGAATATAATAAACTATAAAAGTTTAATACCATCACCGATCACCAAGCTTTCGTCAGATACTTCTGACATCGTCAGGGTTAATGCTGGTCTGTGGGAGAGTGCCTTTATAGGTGAGCCGTCATTTGCACACGGCTCCTAGATCTTGTCATAGGTCCTAATTGATTTAACTGCTTTTTAATTACGGCTTCCATAC